ATGTTGCACATCCACAGCTGCTTTTGATTGCACAAGTTGCCTGATAGGAAGAAACATTTCTGCAAACAGTCGCCGTCTGACTTTGACTGCAATCATTTTCTCAGAGATTGTTGAAGGTTTGCAAATAGTTGATGTCTAGTTATAAATGCAGACAAATTACCAATAAGTTGTCATCAGTCTGAGTCTTTGTCAGTGAGCACAGATCAACAGGATTTGAATCTGGTTGTATTCTGGTTAATTTACTATAGCACGGTTAAAATTGAACTTCTATGAAATTGAACTTTCTGTCTATGCAGACTCCAACAGATATGTGATTTTTGCTGATTTATCACAGTTAGTTGCTGTATTATCAGAAACTCCGATTCAGGCTGATATTAGTCTGGCAACATTTATAGTCTGGCAGGTTTTAGCGACAGTGCTGGTATGCTTGATAATTGCATTTTGCAGCAAAAATAAATGATAAAAGAAATAACTGTAGTGATATAGCTTTATCTTATTGAATATACTGTTTTATATATGCATTAAGTGTATTGTAATCGTGGAAGCATTTGTCTCAATGCTGCTTTTTTCCACATTCAGACTATGAATTAGTGCTTAAACTGAGCCTCCCACTCTATTCTGGAGTGAACATTACACAGAGTGAATTTTAGATCCATAGATGAAGACATTTCCTCTTACTCTGTGGAGGTTTGTCCAGTGTGAACCACAGCTGAAGTCTCTCAGGATGGTTCTTCTTCACCTCCTCCAGCTCCTCCCTCAGTAAGATGTCTTTCTCAGTCTAAGATAAAGTAAAACCCAGTAAAGCGGTTTGACCACAACACTTTCCCTTTATATGCAGTTATAGAATTCAACTAAGACAACGCAATATCCCGCACACAGCTGACCTGGTTGGCGAATATGAGAGAGCACTTGGTGTTGTCAGTGGAGTCTGATGAGATACTGCGAATTAACTGCAGCATAGGAGTGATACCTGGGAGGGTGAAAGACACTGGAGTTAGTCTCAGAGGTGAAATACAGACTTTTCTCATTTTTCCAGTGAACTGAATGTGTCAGCAGTGCAAAGCAAATATCAAAACTTTCTAAAAGTTAAAGCATGTCACAGATTTGAGGACCACACGAGCAGAACAGCTCTTTTCAAACGCTCTGTATTACATCCCAGTCGTCTAAAACACACTAAAATAATAACATGATGCAGTAAAGCACTTGAAAAGTGTGATTACACGCAGGCCTTAGAATCACTTTAAGGTAAATAACACTTCTGCAGATTTTTGTCCTCTGTGATGTTCCTCTGAATGAAGTGCGTGTATAGTTAAAGTTATTAGAGTGATCTGAAAATGGACCTGTTCCGCCAGCGATCATTCCCACGTGCTTAAACTTCCGAACCTTTGGCTCCGACTTCTTATCTGGTCTGATGGCAAACTGACCTGAGTGGATGACACAAAGTCTCAACCAAAGCAGATCACACAGCGCCTCCTGCTGGTGTCAGCAGGTTAATGTAGAAACTTCTTTTTTTGGTTCTTTTCATAAAAAACACCATCACCACACCATTGCCCTTATACACCAGGAGTCCATTGGGCCCTCTGAAGTCAATAGTGTCTCCAATGGTCATGCCGTCCAGGTACTGCGACATCTTCCCTCCATCAGGGAAAGACGGGTGGGTGTTCTTGTAGTAGACCTGGAGGAGTTTACAGAAGGACATCACATTTTTATTTTCACCTTCTTATGCAGTCTCATTTTCCACAACAGTGCAATAAAAATGACTTCCAGGCTCTCAAATGATCCACTCAGCTGGTAATAATCAAATGTCAAACTTTAGACATATTGTCTAATATTACTATTGATATGGCCTTTTTCTCTTACTGGAAAAGCTTCCCTATAATCCAGAAAACAGAAAAAGAGTATGTAAAACCAATATTCAAAATTTTATTTATGCTTTTGGAGAAAGCATCACGATCACAGTTATGTGACAAATGATAAAACCTGTGCGGTACAAAGCATCTCACAACATTGTGCTTCAGTTTTCTGTATGAATGATATTCTAGTGTTAGCTGTTAGCTTAGCACTCAGTAATTTTATATACATATAAAATTACTCCAGAACATCGACGTAACTTTGTGCTAGACATTGGGGAGGGTCAAGATCTCTGTCTAAATAAATAAATCTGGGTAAATTCCCAGATGATTAAACATGCAACTGTTTTGTTGGTAATAACTGAAATGAGTAAAGAAAATCAACAGCCTATTTATGCAAGATAATTCACAATTTTATTGGGGGGGGGGGGGGGGGGGTATATATTGGTTGGGTCTGATTATTGGAGGGGTCATAACCCCCCTAACCCCCCTGGAACTTACGCTCCTGCTCCAACAGGCTCAGTTTTTTTAAGGTATTATTGCTTCAGACTTGGTTGCCTATTAAAAACAAACTCATGGCCTTTCATCAGTTTCTAGGGCTTTGTACAAATGGCTTATAGTGTAATAAAAGTGATAAAAGTGTTTATTAAGCAATGACTGACTGTCCAACTGATAATCTCACTGACGATAGTAGCTCAGGATGCAATACAGACACTCAGATCTTTACCAAATTTCTTAATAATTGCTCTACAGATCAAATGTGAACATGTTAAGGTTAACCACCTTAACCACGAGGTCAACATATCCTTGGTGCTCATCACTGGAGACTGGAGTGTAGGCTCTAACCGCCAGAACGCCGTTCACCTTTGCTGACAAGTACACGTGCTGGCCTGCACAGTGGACAGAGACGGGGAAGAGAAGTGGCAGGTTTGGTGTAGTGTTGGGTTAAAGTGAAACAGGACGGTGGGGAAAATGTTGATACAGGAAATGAGGGCAGTTCTACGGCTGCAGCAAGGAATCGTGAGCATCACTGTCAAGTGCTAATACTTATCTATTCTAATCAAAGTCCAATAATTTTTTATTTTTGATGTTTAACCGGTGTAATCGGCAAGTGAGCTTGCCTTCTTGTTTTTTTGTCTGGTTATACCGCAGCATAAGTATGAGGAAGTGCTAAAAGTGCTGAGTGCTCAGATAAGAAAATCTGCATGCTTGCTTTTTCTACTAGGATTTTATCAGAAGAGAGAAAGAAAAGAGCTGGTACAGTACCTACTGGCAGCCCAAGGATGTGACTTGCAGATGGAAGGCCAAACCGAAATTTCTTTGTGTCATGACTGATTTCCTGCACAAGGACACAGCCACAGTACCATAAAAAGAGAAAATACATATAATATTATCCTTCTGGGCTGGCTAAATAAATCTCCCATGGCTTCTGTTTGAAGCTTTATGTTTATGCAATACATTAACAGATATTTGTCCTATTATGTAACTGCATCTTAAGGGTATTTAAAACATAAAGACCGTTCCAGGCCTGCAAACCGGTGCACTGCACAAAAACAGAGCTGTTACAGCTAACTCAGTGAGAGCAGCAAATCTATCACTGCACCCCCAATAATACTTTCTTATGATGGGAATTTTTGATGAAAGAATGAGTCCTACATTGCCCACAATGCAACTCAACAGACCTTAATGTTTAAAATGTGGTGTGTGAAAGGATTTACACGGGCTCTTGGTACACTAAATCTGAACTGTTCTTTTTTAGGGTCTTTGAGTGAATTTCAAAGATTACTGAACAGAAATCTTGTGACTACAAATATGCAAATCTTGGTTTTTTTTTTTGCAGTCATTTAAAAATGTACGTGCTTATTTATCATAAACATAGATGCAGGTCTAAACACACACTGGATTTTGTTAAGCCTGTAAGTTTGTATGCAGCCCACCTCTTTGCGTATAAGTGGGAGAGGATATTTCACTGTGGGATCTTGGAGAGTGACGGGCAGCTTCTTCGTCTTCTCACCTGAAGAACCTAGCAGGAAGTAGAAAACTGTTCCTACCAACACAAAGACAGCCACCAATCCAGGGATCACCTGCAGGACAAAGATCAAAGTGTGAACATGCTGCATTCAGCCGTTTGTAGCACGCATAGCGACTTGCACAACAGTTAAGATAGAGAAACAGTTTACATTCAATAACTGAAAGGAGAAATAAAGCTCATTTTTTTCTCACCAAGGTCTCGTCCATGTTTAACGTGACAAATTAGTCAGTCAGAGCCTCCCTCTCCTCCCACAGACCAGAGTCCACACAGTTAAGGCAGTGACAGCCTTGCCGCATTCACTCTACACACAAATCTCAAAAGGGGCTTGGCTTCCCACTGAGGTGAAAGGTGACACGGGGCCCGAAGCACCAATAGGAAGACAGATTTCATCATGACACTATATAGTACAGAGGTGGTATTCAGACAGTGAGGAGCAGAGCCTTGAAATCACACCACTGACAGAGGGGAGGAGAGACAGGCATATCAGATTATATAACAAAGACCTTCACTGCTCTGTACAGGGGCACAAAATACTTTACTCACTTCAGAGAAAAACATGCTTTTCAGAAAATAATGAACTCGTGTATGAATATTTCCACAAAAAGGCATCTAATTCATTAATTTATTCAAGTTAAACACAACAGTGATAAAAGTTTTAGCTGGCATTAAATATGTCCTAGAGTTAACTAGTAATCTTTAACTGTGAGCCCAGTCTTAATGAATCACTGTGAAGCAAGTTCTTTCTTTCTTTTTCGGTACAAAGTAACCGAAATACAAAAAGGCAAGAAAAACAAAAATCAGCCTTTCCACCATATCTCATGATCAAACTTAGTTTGGTTAAAAAAATCTGAGAAATTAGAGAACAATGTTCAAAAACTTGTTTTTTTATACTAATGAAAGAAAAAGTGGGGCAAATATTATGAATCCTTACATTGTTTTTAATGCATTTGTGTTTGAAGAACAGTAAAAAGTAAAAGCGCTCAATGCAGCAAAAGTCACTGTGAATCTATTGCAATAACACACTCTATCATTATAATCACTGAATGCATTAAAACAATAGTATTTTAATGTTGTACTATGTTGCATGGATTAATGTATCTTATTCTATCATTTAAGAATTTTTACAAATGCAAAGTACACAAGAGCATATTATGGCAATGCATGCGTAAGCTGCAAGTTCATTGAATTTGTGCTTAAGTATAGCTCAGTCAGGACTATATTTATTGACAATCACAAAAATTATATTTGGGAAAACAAAGCAGGCATTTATGATATTGGGCTGGGTGGAGGTGGGTTGCAAAGTGGTTTGCTCAAATACTGCATCCTGTATGAGATTAGCTGGTTGGGAGTGTAGACTTTACCAGCTGACCCGTCACCTCATGTGGTGTTGCACTGAGCTGGTGTCCAGTTGATCTCCTGGGATTGAAGCTGAGTTTGGCTTTGTGGTCTTTTGTTATACGCCACTATATTCCTTTTATTAGATACTATATTTTATTCTTTACAAAAATCATGTTTTTGGCAGTTGGAATTGCTAAAAATCAATGTAACATCTTTGGGAGTATCCTAAAAAAGATGAGCCAATTTTATTTGTACCCAGTAACAGTTGCAGTATTTTAATCATTTTGTTTAGTCACAGTCACCAACACTGATAAAAACATAGCACGGGGTAGAATAATGCACTCTGTGTCAAGTCAAATGATTTAAAAGCAACAAATGTTGACCAAATCGCTGCAAAAAATTATGAGGCAGATTTTTAATACAGTCTTTAATACTTGAGCATAACTTCAGGGTAAGAAAATAGCAAGATGACAAAATGGTGCGAGGAATATCCTGAGGTTTCTGTAACAAAAATGACTAAACTAAACTACCAGTGTGGTTCTTGAACTATCAGTATGTTGAAAACTGGAGAGCAAGCATTCTAGGAAACAGCAACAAGTAACAGACAAGCGATTGAAAACTCCCGTTTTTGCATTCCCAAGCAGCAGCAGCAGACTTAAAGACAGCAGAATTTAACAGGTAGCCTCCTTCCTGCAGGTTACTGTGCCAGCTCTGATGATTCCCTACTGTAATCTTCATCTACACTCCGGTCCACATTTAAGGTAACATCCTCTGAGGCGTCATGGTCCACATCGGCCCGGTGAGGCAGGGCTCTGGTTCTGTACTGCTGCACAACTAGTTCTGCAACACAGATGTTAAATTAAAAAAGATTTATGTGAACCAGTCGTAATCTCATTATGTAATTGTGGGATAATGTGAAAGCAAAATACTACATGAATATAACTAAGCCTGGAATGTCAAACCATTTTACTCCAATTTTGGACTCGAGTTTCCATCACTGTAAAGAAGTTAAACTACACATTCAGTTTCTGAGACACAGAAACACAATTTTGACATTATGTCTCAGTTTTTCTATAGATAAAGAAACAGTGCAGTAATAAATGAAAGAAATCTGTCAGCATGACTCTGGGCCTAATTTGTAAGAAGAAAATGTGTAAAATTACACAAATCTATTGTTTAATTACTCTGGTGTATTGTGAATGGCCATGACGAGATCGTTATCAATAGGAAACGCTGTTAAACTTGTAAAATTGTTGTGAAAATACAGTTAAAAGTCCTAACTCACATTTTCCAAAGCCACCCTTCGGGCTGGATTGGAGTCTTTGATTCAGGAGCCTCATGTTTGACACCCCTCGTCTAAACAATAGATCCTGCATTAATAAATCTGTGCATTATATTTTGAAATGGAACTGATATAACTCTTGTTGTATCAGTTGTGTTCATGTCTTAAAAAAAGTTTTGGCTAACACCTGATAATAATCACTAATAAAAGCTTGACTCACTGCAGCTTATTTTACAGTATATACCAAGGAGGATAATAACCTTCACAGTTATCAAGAAACGCCAGCAAAATGGGTTTGTTTGAGATGATCTGCACGTTTCCTGAAAACTGCGCCTGTGTGCACAGAAAATAAAAAAGTACTAGAGATGGATTTTTTTTGTTTGTTTTTTTACATTTGCAAATATTAAAGCAATTTAAATGGCAAATGCCGAATCAGAAATGGTATTTAGCAACAGCAACTTTTTTTAAAACTGCTTTACCTTCAGTACCCATAAAATATCACTAGAGGGCGCTCTGTACCCACACATTTGCACAGCCGCCTCAGTCAGGCGGTCTGAACCAAGACTTGTGTCTAGAAAAAAAGTTTGATTCGCTGATCACGTGAATCCTTTTCATGCTTCCTGTTGAGGACGATGGTTGATGATGGGTTAACTAAAAATATTTTAGGTACTCTCAATACTCAGCATGTGAAAATATATATATAAAACACAAAGCAGCACAAAGAGAAGCATGAAAACCAAAAGATGCATCTCAAATGCTTAACATTTTAAAGTCAAACGCTATCACTGCAGGTTATCACTGCAGGTTACTCATCACCCCCTTTTAATATCAAATCAGTTAAATATTGTGAAATGAATCTAAAAATAATCTTTGGGGGAAACAGGGAGGCTATGAGGCCATAACAGTGGTGTGCTGTTGCATCATGTGATGTTTATCTCTGCCCAGCGCCTGTTGTGTTTACAAGCACCCAGACAGCCTGGTAAAAGAGAAAGCCCTGAACCGGTCTAATTTTCTTAATGTAATTAATGGATTTGTGATTGAAAGACAAATAGCTATGACCTTTTTTTTGGTAAAATATACACCCGCCCCTCATTTTGTTAGGTCAGCTGCACATCAACACAAATATCTAATCAGCCAATCACTAAATGCATTTAGGCATATAGACGTGATCAAGACGACCTGCTGAAGCACAAACTGAGCATCAGAATGGGGAAGAGAGGTGATTCAAGTGAGTCTGAATGTGGCACAGCTGGTGATTCCAGACTGGCTGGTCTGAGTATTTCACAAACTGCTGACCTACTGGGATTTTCTGACATAATCATCTGTAGGGTTTACACAGGATAGTCTGAAAAATACAGGAACAAAGTAAAAATCCAGCGAGTGGGAGTTCTCTCAGCTAAAATGATGTATTGATGATAGCTCAAATAACCACTTGTTACAACCAAGGCATGCAGAAGAGCACTTCTGAACACAAACTTTGAAGCAGATGGGCTGCAGCAGCAGAAGACCACCTGGTACCTCTCCTGTACCTAACTAAGAAAAGGAAACTGAGGCTATAATTAACACAAGCTCACCAAATCTAGACAATACAAGATTGTAATAAAAGAAAAACTTTCACTGGTCTGATGAGTATCGATTTCTGCTGCAACGTTTGGCTGTTTGCATCAGAATTTGGCATAAAAATGTGGAAACATTGATCCACCTGCAAACTGTATCAACAGTTCACGTTGGTGGTGGTGTAATAGTGCGAGGGACCCTTGGTACCAACTGAGTGTCGTTCAAACTCCACAGCCTACCCGAGCATTGCTGCTGACCGTGTCCATCCCTTTATGACCAAAGTGTGACCATCTTCTGATGAGGACGTCCAACAATAACATGTCAGAAGCTTAAATGAGCTCAAACTGGTTTCTTGAACATGACAAATCAAACTAGCATCAAACTGGCCTCAACAGCCGCCAGATCTCCATCCAATAGTAGTCGGGCTTCAGTCCTGACATCATTAAATAAACAACATGCTTTGAGAAGTGATGGTAAATCACAGAAAATATAAATTTCATAAAATTTTAGAGGCTAAAACCTGAAAATGTGACTGACCAGTTTTTACTTCTTGCTTCATGTGCATCGTTGAAAACCGTCAAACATTCAAACACACCTGCCACCTACATTCATCCTGAGTCATTTCATTTAATCAAAGTCTTTGAAACGGGGTGGAGTTTCTACTTTCTCAGAACTGGGAAGATGAGGTTCAGTTGGGAAAAAGCAACAGCAAAGCAACACCATGGTCTCACAGGTACTGGGTGTGGTTGGCGGTTAACCCGGCAGACATGCAAAGACAACTAACAGGTTTAGACAGAGAGCTGATGAAAAACAGAACAGATCAGAAAAAAATTACAAAATGTTTTCAATTAAAATAAAAGGCCATAACACATCTGAATCCCAATTCAAAGGATTAAAAAAAACACTGAGAAGCGAGACAGTGAGAGAGGTGAAGGTGGAACCACACACACATACGCACACACACACACACACACACACACACACATGCACACACAGACACAGGTGGAACTACCTGTTTCTCAGGTGCTGTTGTCATGAGGGGCAGCCTGCCAAGGGACTCTGTCTCTCTGCAGTGCACAGTAGAGTCATTAAACATGGAAAGCTCGACTAAATGACTAGCATATACTGTATGTGATGAATGCACGTGTCTCTTCTCAGAGGACGCATTACATCAAGACTAGTGGATTTGATTCTGAAAACTGATATGTTGCACCCACATACTAGTAGTAATGCCAAAGGTCTAATGCTCTTTAACAGCAGCTCACGGGAAACCCTCAGAGCTCTACAGGGTATGAACTCAGTCAGAAACTGAAAGCCATTTCTGTATCATTTTTGGAACAGCTTGCACTCAGATATTTAGTTTTTACAGAGTATTTCTCGGAAAATACCATGACAAAAACAAAGGAGGGAATTCATGAAACAATATCATCTGTTACAAAGATTTAAAAAATAGTTCAGTTATCTCGGCCCTACAAGAAGACTGTTTGAAAAAAAGTAATACTGTGTTTGACAAATTCATGAAACAGATAACATATAAAGCTGAACAGTCTTTTGGAAATGTGTTCATCAGCCTGCTTTATACAAACTGTTGTTTCTCACATTGTAAGCGGTGACGCCAGTGTTAAATGTCTTACTGCCATTCTAAATGCCAATGACACAGCTTTGCTGGGCCCATAACACCACCGGTGGATAAGCTCAACACTTGGAGTTGGCAAATACCATTCATTCATTAATTCATTCACTCATTTATTCACTCATTCCACTCCTGACCAGCGAGCAGCTCCACTGCAGCAGCTCAATATTTAATGCCTTGCTCAGGAACTCCTGAGCAGCACGGACAGACCGGCCACTGTCACTGTTCCTTATTTCTTATTTAATAAAGAAAAAACACATTAAAGACAAAAAAAAAAGAGCAAAGCACCAACCAAAAGTTGTCAAAACATCTGGCAGATCCTCAACATCTGTCCTCTTTTGGTTCTGAAGGTCTGCAGAAAAATGCAACAAGATTTGTATCATACTTTCATGGGTAGTTATTACCTTTATAGGTTTTACTTTTTAACTTTATGTCCTGAGTCTGATGACTCTGTGTTTTGTGTTTGTTTATATTAACTTTTGTTCTCGTTTATTCTGGTTATGTCTTTTGTTAAGATTTGTTGTTTGGTAGGTTTCGGTTCTGTACGCCCTCTGTTCCTGTTCTGAGTCTGTCTCTGCATATGTGTTGAGTTTCCTGTTTTACTTTGAAGGTCTGTGTTCCTCCTCCTCGTCTGTGTAATGAGTGTCAGCCCTGTCTCCCAGCTGTTTCCTCTCAGTCCTGTTCACTTCTTGTATTTAGTGTCTGCGTCTCTCCCTGCTCGTTGTCGCGTCATTCCCCACTGTGCGTTTTGTCTGCCCGCCTGTTTGCTTGTTTAGTTTAGTTACTTTGCCAGTTTTCTGTTTTGCCTGCTGTCGAGCAATAAAGCTGAGTAGTTTTAAGTTCACTTTTGCCTCCACAAGTTTGCTCTTGGGTCCACAATTCCTGCCTTCACACAGTCATGAAACTTCATTCCAGTTACATTTGGAACACCATAGTTAGAAAATAATGTCTCCAATTTGTAATTTTGATATTTGTATTTGGGGACATGGCTCTACTCTTGGCCTGAGACGTCAGAGAGCAGGGCAACAGGACTCGAGCACCGAACAGACGAGAAATATAACAACTGATAAAGTTTCATGTGTAATGAAAGGGTGGGAGATGGCACTGAGCTCATCAGCTGACCTGCCAGACTTGGATTTAATGAAAGGTAATTTTTAAGTGCAGCCATCATCAACTCAAGTGTGCAGGCATAAAAGAATATAAGGGAACGTGTGATATATATTGTTTTAAAAGTAAAGGTTTGTTTATTCTTGTTGGCCAGCATTTTTCAGAGGCTCATGCTCACTAGGATACGGTAGATGAAGATAATTACACAACATTTAAAGTATTAAATTAAACAAAGCTCCACAAATTTTGTAAAGACAACAGATTATTGGGCTGGCTTACAATCATTGGTATTACTATTTACTAATAGACTCATATTACTGAATGAAGGAAAAAATCATATTCACAGACAATAACTGTAACATGTTAGTCTGCACATGTAAGTAGAGTGGCCTCCAGTGGGACAGAGTTCATAACATCTTTTACTTTTACAGGGAAATAAGATGGGGCACTGATATGGTCTGCGGACCGGCTACATTTAACCCATCACTAATCCACTAAACCCATATCGCTAGACCTTTGGTATGTTAGTAGTTACTCAGTGGTGGGAAACACACGTGCAGTGGGGTACCTGTAATGCTGATGAATGTCAGTGTAGCCCTGAAACCCCTACGAGCGATGCTGCTGTCCGACGTAAACCGAAGCACCATGGTGCTGTGGTAGGAAAGGACAGGAGGAGGGATACTGCCACCACACAGCAAGGCTAAACAAAGAAATGCAACAAGATACTGAGTGATACAGGTATAAAAAGATGAATTCTGATTTGATGTATCCATCCTACCAATCTCCTCTGTTCCTTCAACATCTTCCAGGACAGTGAGGGAATCATACAAGCATCTCTCCGACTCCTCCAGGTCAAAATCTGTAAACTCCAGCTGAAAATATAGAAATCAACCAGCTTCTAATCACACATGTCCTAATAATACCTTAAGAAGAATACCAGGTAGGTAAGTTGTGCAGCTCACCTTAACCACATGACCCAGAGGAGCATGGATTACCCAGTGGAGGACACAGTCATTACTGTAGGCTTGTGGGTGATTTGGACTGTGTATAGAAGCCTTATCGTCAACCAGAACAAGTGTTCCACATCCTGAGTGCGCACACACACACACACACACACACACACACACACACACACACACACACACACATTAGACAGTTCAGTTTAAAACATTTAAAAACACTCATCTGCACACAAATGCACAAATGTGCTGTTTTTAAACCTAGAGCATGTGTGTATTTTTTAGAGTCCTCAGTTAGCCTGTTGGTGTCTCAAGCAGCATCCACCTGCATAATTTGCTGTTTGTTACAAAAACCACAACCCACAGACACAGCAGAAGCTAAAATTGTGTATGAGCTGAGTACGCAGTGCGTGCATCACTCTGCCAGCTGTATAGTGTATAATCTGGATTGCACAATGCGCTCGTGTATGTTTGCAGTGTATGTTGTATTTCCCACCAGGATGAGAGTGTCCTTTGACCGCATGGTGCCTAATTACAAAGCCACTTCCTGCTCTGCTAACATCAGAGGAAAAGAGAAGTGTGGCATTGTGGGAATTATTTAGAAGAACTGGGCCGGGCAGCACACTTCCACAGAATATCCCTGAAACACAGAGGCACATGAAGACGTTTAGATATTTACACACACTTGTCTTGATATGTATTCCATGAACAAGATTCTCTCGTTGTCAGTGTGTGCGTTCGGGGTGTCATTCAGTGTTTTGCAAAGACTAAACCTGTGCTTACCAGCAACATTTAGCTGCATGGTCATCAAAAAAAATCCTACAGAAAATCCTAATCCTACATTCATCAATTCATGTGAAAGAAAGAATTAGATACACCGTCAAAGCTGTGGGAAGCTTCATGTTTTCAGCCAAGCTGTTTACGATAAGATATATTATGTAGGCCAACCACATCCTGACCCCGGCACAGTTTTAACTCACAGCCAAGACACAGAAAAACTGCTACCTCTTACAGCCATTTGTAAATTATTTGAACTGGCAATAGGAACATACCCTGTATATAAAAGATGGGCATAGCCTCCACAATACCAATCACTGGGTTGGTGGGCTCTGTTTGAAGCCTCATAGTGGTTTAGCAACCATATTCACTTCTTTTTAAGCCACAAGTGACAACATTTGAAGCGGAGAGGGTGGAGTGCTGAGTTATCAGCTCCTACTGGCAATGGGTGCAACATCCACATCTGCTACTTAGTATTTGTAACAGGCTAACTTACCAGAACAGACGCACAATTTTCTTAGGTCTGTGCCAAATAGCAGGTCATGTTATTTGGAAGATAATTAAAAAAAAAAAAAAATCCAATAAGTGACTTAGTGAAACTGAAGCCCAGCAGAGAGCCATGAGCTACAGCTGCATGTGTCATCACATGTCACTCAGTGTGGCTGCGCTTCTAATTTTAAGCCTCACCTGCATCCAAATGGATGAGGTGTAAAAACAGAGTTGTTACAAAAGGGGAGACCACATTATTTTTTTCACCAACATGTTTTCTAAAGGTATTTTAACATCGCGGTTTGAGGTTGCCATTGTGGGCACTTCTGCATGAAGCCCAGACATATCAGAAATATTACTTCTCATTTCAAAGACGTGATATATAAGAATGTATTTTTAGAAATGTTTCACATGTCCTTTAACACAGCCATCCCCAGAGGTCCAGGCTGGCTCTGATGCATCTTTAGTACAGTATAAGCTGGTGTATTGGATTCCTTTCCCTTACAGTATCTGAATTCTTTCACCCATGAAGATGACATTTCACAACTCCTCCAATCGGGCTCCAAGTAGGAAAGAGTTAGGAGAGTCATTACTTCATGACCCCCATGGTTGCTCGTATTAAATGAATGAAGGTGAACTGAACAGAAGCTCAATAACTGGCTTTTTCTTTTTCAGTTGCACATATATTGATATTTTTCATTACATTACTACAATAGACTACATATAATGATAGTATTGTGAGACTCTGCGATTCCCACAACATACAAACTAGTTGTTATTGTTGAGGTTAGCCAGGAAATGATTGTGAGTCAGTGCACTGTAAGCTGAAATGAAGGTGTTTGAAACTCACCAACAGGCCGATGGCTTCCTACTGAAACAGTGAGTCGATCATACCGACAGTATGAGTCGTTCTCCAAGTCAAAAAGATCGAACTCCAGCAGAATACTATAACCTGGAGGAACGCTGATGCTCCACAAACACAACCTGTGGGAAGGCATGAACAGTTTAACCAGGGCACTGTATTTCCCTTCTTTACATCCATATAATCCTGAGCTAAAAGTCAAATGTTAGTTTTTTAGAGTTTCTCATCCTCACAGAATTATAGGAAATATTGATTGCCAGTTATCTTATTAAGCATGGCGTTAGCTCAGGCAGCTTCTGGCACATCGGCTGATCTCAGTGACTGCTCATATCAGCACATCTGATTCATTTGCTTTAGGCTGCACATCTGTAAGCCACCTCATAACCCACCTCCACCCCAGCTTGTCCATTCAGTCTGCATCGAAATCAATTGATATCGCATCTGTTGCATGGACTGGTTGTTGCTCTCTCTGCCATCTTTTAAATTTATGCACGTAAATGGCCTCAAATATAAATCACTACAGATGGATTTACAGTGTTCTCTTGACTACACTGATTCTGACTGAGCAGGCAGTTAGCACCGCCGCTTAGTTCTTCTCTGAAGTGTCACTCACTGGTTGTTGTCATAGCGATCGCCATGGAGCCTGGGATTTTTGATTACCCCGTTAATGTCAGACACAGGCCCATCTCTCACACTGCAGAGTCCTGAGACACACGCAAACATCAAAGAAGCATGAGCACATTATGAAATATAGATGAACAAGAGTTGGTGTAATGAGTGGAAAGACAACTCACTTGATGAAACCGTTGTCTGCTGCTGGTGCTCAGCTGAAAGAAGTAGAAAGATGAAAAAGAGAACATAAATATAGATGGAAGAACTTCATCTGTCATCAGAATATTTGTTTCTGGAGGAACTGTGGACAAAACCCCACAGAGTTAAACCGCAGATTAACGTAATCTAAAATGTTCTAATTAGTTCATTTATTTATTCAATACAAAATGTTTTTTCTCCTAATTTTCAGAATGACACTGCTGAGTTTAAACAATTCAAAAATGCCTACAGACGTGGTTTTTGTAACCTTTTCTTCTCATAAAAATAATAATAAAAATCTGTTCTAACCATGATGACAGCATCAGATTAAGTCCAGCATGCTTTGATAAAGCTCAGCCTCAAAAGTTGTCTTTGTTGGGATCCACAAAGTGGCCCCATATGGAGAAGCAACAGCTTTAAATTTTATCACGTTAAATATTAATAACAGCAGCAGCTGCTAAATGAACTGCAGACAATCTGCTGCTCATGTTTGTGCATCACACACTGTGTGAAAGCTAACGTCATCATACAGGGATGACACATACAAGATGCTATGCGTCTACTGTACAAAAGTCCTGAGGAAACCCTCATTTCTTCATATTCTGCTTGGAAAATAGGAATAATATGTTATTGTTTTCATAGATCCAACTACAGAAAGGCAAGAAATGAGACATTTTTGTGACAAACAGTAGTAACAAAGTATCAGATACATCTTAACTTTTGTTTATTGTTTATTTGAGTTATCTGTTGTGTTTAGACAGTGTTAAGTGGTTTTCTTCAGAGGAAAGAAGCACTGCTCTGATAAGGGTCCGATACGAGGGCCGGAATGAAAATGAGTGACAAAGAAGTCACTGTATAAAAGGAAGACTTGGAAAGGCCTTCAGAGAGCCGAGACAGCTATTAAGACTGCTCTTTAAAAACAGTTACAAGTAAGTCGGGCTCCTTGGAAGCAAAGTATAAAGAAAGGAAAGGTGACTCAATGCTTTTTCACAGTACTGTACTCACAACACTTAGAAAGCTGGGCGAGTAGAGGAATGTCACAAAGGCAAGTGTGTTTGTATACTACGTCATGAAGGTCTGTTTTTTAAGAACATATTTGAATCGATTGCTGATGAGGAAACAAAGAATCTTTACCTTCATCTCCTGATATTTCAACAAACAGACATTGTTTACATTCCTGTCTGTTACATCACATTTTGATGGTCAAGCAGCACTTTAAAGGTTAGGAAAACAGGTTTCTCACCACCTTGATATGTGGGTGGAGGCATATTTACTGCAATATGTTTCTACAAGCTTTAGCTACTTTTTAAGTTTGTCCCTGACTAAACTACAAAGTGACATTCAGATGTTATCAGATGGATCTCAGGGTGTAATAGCCACTTTGTAGCAGCACTGTACTACCTCCATATATGGTTATCATGTGACACACCATGTCTATCACACTCTTTAGAAGCAAATATGCTGTATCAAAACCTACCCTCTCTCAATTTACGCTTGATCCAAGGCAGCAGCAGCCTGACGTCAGTGAAAATCCCCGGAGAACCTCGTTTGGAAGGGGGGCGGCTGCTGTTGTTTCCCCAGCTCCTACCACATCCTTTACCCCAGGAAGTCACGCCCAGCGCCACCCAGCGATGACCTTCTGACCCTGCTGGACACACCAAAGGACCTCCTGAGTCTCCCTGGACAGAGGATGAAGTCGTGGGTCAAGGGATGAGTCAATTATTTAAAGCTCAGTGGGATAGAATGACTGATTTACGGCACTGAATTGTGCTGTAAATAGAGCATCTGTGAGGATGGAGAAAAAATCTGAAGTTATAGATAATGAAAAGATTTTTAATACCTGACAGGCATCCCTCCCTCCTGTCTCTGGGCCGGCACACAGAACTGTCATGCTCGGCTGAGGCCGGACGAGTCTCTGGTTCATCATAGAACCTTTAAGAGTTTGGAGGACATATTTACATTTGGCTCGGTCAACCAAATCCAAATGCACCTCTCTCAGAACCATAGGAAGACAACCCCCTAAGAAACAGTTACATAGATTGGAATAGATTAAAAAGCTCCAGTCTAATTTAACAATATTTAAAAGTCAGAAAAACGACATACGTTCCTTTATCCTCCCCCATCCAGCCGTCATGCAAGCGGTCTGAGGAAGGATATTGTCATTAGGTAAAGGCAGACATATCGGCTGGACACGAGCTCCTGTTGAAAAAGTCACATCAGGTCAAATTAAAAACCATGGTGGCCCGAAAGTACAAAACACAACAGAAACACAACATTCCTTGTTTCTGTTTTCACATCATTGTATCATGCTTGAATGTTATTCTCAGCAGTGTCCTTGTGTGACTTTTGTCATTGTTGAACCTGACAAAGAATCTGTAAGTTGTACTTGCTTGCATGTGAGCTATGTGTGTCCTGTGACGAGCTATGATGCTTCAAGCAAGCATGCAGACTGCATACACATCACTGTGCTCTGAGGATCTGAAGGAACATCTTAGAGCCATTACATGTTAAAACTGCACTGACCTTCAGTCTGCTGCTCCCTTCTTTGCAAAGGGTCACTGCAGCAAATCTGCATATCTGATTGGTTGGACGATCTTCCTCACAACTCTTGAGGAATTTGTCTCAAACAACGAGTAGTCACATGTTAAGTGAATGTGTTAACCATGCACCATGTAGCCACACCATCCCAGCATTTCAAACTTAAAAATTCAGTGCTGTCAGAAAACTTCTAATGTAACAGAGACCTCCCACCTAGATTCAGATACCCGGTTCTTGTGAAATAATCCAGAAGAAATTGGTTTGTTTTTTTTTTTAATTTGATACAAAAGATATAATTCTATTTTTATAGTTGATTTGCTCCATTTGTAGCCACATAGCTTTCTGTAATAACATTTTCTCCTTTACCATATTGATGTCTTGAAACCAGATGTGACAGATGAGGTGTGGATCTGAGAAAACATGCTGATCGACTCAATTGCAAATCATCAGCAAATGAGCGGAACTGGACTGGAATTCACACAGTAGACTTGATTTTTTACTCAATATGACCCAAAATGCAGGTTTAAGGCACTTGTTTGAGTCTCTGAGTCGAACACAGTGCTCAGTATGACACGTTATTTGATTTTGAACCAATGCGAACAGAAAACTTGCCCATCTGGATGCGTTGGTTCAGCTCTATGAGAGCTATGTCATAGTTCATCGGCAGAGCAGGGTTGTACTTTTCATGGACTGAGACAGACTTGACCAGAAAGACTTGCTCCTCCTCATCGTGTACTCTCTGGTCAAACTCTCCAACAAGGACTCTCACACCACTGAGAAACTCTCTAGAGAGAACATTCAAAGCTTATCATTTATTCCCATTAGATAAAATGTTAATTCAATTCTGCTCAATTATAAGTCGTGTCAGCGACATAACGCTTTATACTTTGACAAAGATGTGAAGCAGTGTGCAGCAGTCATTATCCAGCAGTCACTCAAGATGGATCCTCCACAGAAATGAGAGCCCCTGTTCTGGAGGGAAACCTGAGGACAGACGATCCATAAGAAGATTAAGCAGAGCCAACAGCATGAGTCAGTTTGTCACTAAAAGAAAAGGCTGGTTTACCCTTTTCTTTGTGTTTGCTATGCCAGCCTTAAAAATGACACTTTTTTCATGCAGACCCATGAATGCAAGATTCATGTAAAATGCAGCAGATGTGTGAAGTTTAAATGTTTAAAATGATGAGCAAAGTTGCAGTCTCTCATATTGCAGGACTGCGGTGCTGAATAAGGTTTTTTTTTTTTTTTTAAATAGCAACCCTTTAAAGCCTGAAACATTAAATAATAACCAGAGAAATATATATATTTTTGAAAGTGAAGCATTTATTGAACCTTTTGATAATTAAAAAAAAAGAAACAAGTTTCAATTCGTATTTTGTTTGCTACATACTTTATATTTTTGTGTGTGTAATTTATTTACATTTTTCTAGGGGAAAAACACACGGATGATTTAGAAGTTTTAAAAAAAACTTTCAAAAGTTTGTATGTGTCAAATATGATATACTAGGCATTAAAGGGGTTAAACCGAGCAATTGAGCAACGAAGCAATTTATCCACAAAATTCCACGGAGCTGTCCTTTTTGGTTCATAGTGTAAAAGGTTACTCCCATCTCTTTGTCATTGAGTGATCCTCAGGAAATACCAGCATGAGCAACCATGTCATGTTTGTGGAGGACAGAATACGTGGTGAGCCTGCATGGCCGCTGATAACCATCAGGGGTGAACAAGAAAGGAAAGTTCAACAATAACTTTAACCACTGATATGCATCTTTAAAGATAAGCAAAATAGCAGTCAGATCATACAGCTAAGCTAAAGAAAAGAAAGAAAGAGAGAAACCTGAAAGAAGAACTAAATAACTGACCAACCACGGGTGTGATCCGTACATGGCTTCAGTTCCTCCTACCACCCTCAGAGAGGAAACCGTCGGGTTCCACACTTGAGAAATTCCACATTTCGAACCTAACAGAAAGCATCAATACTTTTGAGACCACTGACAACATTTTCCCTCAGCTCTGTGTCATTTTAAGACATGAAAGGTTGTGTGTTCCTTTTTTCAGCACCCATCCTATTACTCACCTGTTTGAGCAGCATGGATGTCAGTGTTTACCCAAAAATACAGAGAGAGCAGAGCGGCGGTGGTCCTCATCATAACCCGAGCATGGAGAAAAGGTCTCATACTGGGCAGACAAAAAGGTTTATAAGGACTAGTGTGATGTGAGGGTATACTCACAAACAAACCAGTAAAGGCTGGCCGTGATGGTGATTGGTGAGTTCAAATGTCGCAGTAAAAATTAGTTGGAGAAAAGTGGTGAAAGTGTTTATCATCTCAAGGTCAGCTGTGGTGAGGTGTGCAGAGTGTTATTGGTGCCTCAAAAACAGGGCAGCAGCTGTAAAGCCTTCAAGGGGGAGAAACAGTCATAAAACACGCACAAAAGGACAGAGAGCACACTTACTGCCGCACAGCCTGTGTGAAAAGAAGTGCTGACGTAAAAGCAGCCAGAAAGGGAGGAAAACGGGGAAAGCAGAGAAATAAAACGACAAAATCTTCCAAGTGTCAAAGCTGCAGCCTCTGTGAAGGAGTCCTCTGAATCATCTGACATTCAGAAAAATATTTACATTTTTAAAATTTCACACAAATCTCATTTTCAGAGATGTTTGCTTTATTGGATATTAGATTAACACCACTTACTGTATTGCTTGGTCAAGAAATGTGTTGTAAAAGCTTAAAAATAACAAGTCCTGATCGCATTTGTCACTTTGTGATAACAAAAACGACAACAGGCAGCTGAAAAGTTATTTTACTTACCAGAAAGCAGCACTGTGAGAACGTTTCTCTTTTTCTTAACCTGTGCTACAAAAAAAATACCTCAACATGAGAGTTTCCTCTCCCAGTTACATTTGCAAATGACTGAGAAGTGCGGAGGAGTATTCTGCTCTGAGAGGTGGAAATTAGATACACACCGAGTGTGAAAATCAGAAGAATCGAGCTTGGTTCTGAGTATACTTTTGGTGTGAGCGGCTGCATTATGAATAATCCGAAAAACATTTTTAATGCACGAAAGATTCACATGGATTTTACGTGTCCTGAAGGCCTTGAGAGTCAAAAAAGGTGGATTGTGCAGGATATCACCATCAGAATCGACCCTCACTCATCACACCAAGATGGCGACACTCATCTCAGGGTTTTTAAAACAGGAGTTCACAAACCAGTGGGTAGCGACGTCCATCTTTTGTACGGTCCATGGCCTAAATCATAAAAAGTAGCATTGCAGGCCACGGAACCACGACGACGAGCTGAAAGACGTTAAAAAGCTCCACAGATTTGAGGTGAACTGCAGATTACAAATTTCTCATATTATTACATGACAACTCAATAAATTACATGACAACAACGACAGGCACAACCATAGCCACAAGTATCCCTGCTATCAACTTTCCACATTCTCATTTCCCGGCTTTACTCAGCAATCCCACAGAGGGTTTTCCAAGTAACTCACATGAAAACACTTCCAAAAGCTTTCATAAAGTACTTATAGATTGAATCGCCATTTTGTTAACAAGTACACAAATGAGCAGCTATTGACCACGAGTGTTTAAAAGCCTGCACATCAGCATTCCCTGAATTAAAAAATGGAATAGACGTTTAGTGTGTATTTATGTGAGTGTTTTCTGCCTCGGGGCTCCCACTCTAAGCCTTATAAGCCCCCTGCTTCCTGTTTATGCAGCCCAGTGGCCCAGACCCCACAGGGTGTACATGGCTGGATGTGACTCAGTGCTTGGCATAGTTGCTTGGCCACAGTTGCCGGGGCTGCTGTTGCCAGGTGTTGCAGAGAGACGCGTAAAATACCGTGCTGTCGGTAACAATTGGCATAAACAATAAATGGAAGCGTGAAACGAGGTCAGCCTTCAACGGATCATTGTCTTCATTTCTCTTGTTTGTGTAAAGCTGGACAAGAGGAGCGATGAAAGGTTCCCTCCTCACACATAAATCCAGATCAATGTCTGAGCAATATGTAGTAGCTGTACACAATAGCATCCGATTGGTAGGAAGCAATTCAGTCTTTATAAATTCTTTATGTAAAAGAGGAAGCATTAACATGCGGGCACAGAAGGCTTAGCACTTCAGTAAACAAACTTTAACCTCAATCAGACTAATATTGTTTCCAACCTGAAATGTTGTGCTTAAAGAAGCCTGATTATACAGGTAAAGTTTACAGGTCTTGAGTACAATAAAAATTAATGTTGTGTTCCAAATATTAAGCCAATTCTTCACACAAGGATTGTACATCTACTTTCAAACCAAACTATGTTGCATGTTTACATCTGCTTTTTCCCCGAACTCACTGTGTACGTTTATCCCAGCCTTGTTAGTGGGATTCTGGATCCAGTTTCTAAGAGCATTTACTAAGTTAAAACATATAACTTTGTTCTCTTTATATCAGAATACTATATTAACTAAGTACCTGCAAATAACCAAAACTAATGTGAGCAAATGTGCAGTGTTAAAAATTCCAATCAAATTAGAAACCATGCTGGTTCTTCCACATAATGGTATGCATGTAATATTTGTTTTATTACTCTCCCAGTCAGATACTTGAAATTAAGGGTAAGACTCCCTAATTAAGGCCATGTTTGACACCGTCTACTTGAACTCACCTCCACAAATTCAAGAACCAAACCCCTCGACCACTTTGAGCTTTTGTAACCGAATTATCTGGCAAAAACATAGGAGCTGCGATGCTGTACAACCCATCCAAGAAGTTTTTTGCTACACTTTTGGTGAGAAAACTTCTAGTATTTTATAATTCTCTTGCTTAGCAGTATTTAGCTTGCAAATCAAACTTTGCAGAATTAGCTGATAACTCCATCCTCTTGCTCAGAGATCACTATTGGCTCCAAAACACCGACATTGAGGTTGGTAAAGCTGATATAACGATGGCAACATCCATCTTTAAAATACAGTTTATGGTCACAGTAGCTTGCTAATCTTTGATTGAGGTGCAGACTTTCAGTTTTAATTCAAGTGATTTAACAAAGTACACCATTAAATGTTTAGGAATTACAGCCATTTTTATACACAATGGCCCATTTTCAGAGGCTCAAACACTAATTTGACAACTATATGACAAACAGCACCTTTTCCTTTTTTATTCAAGGACAGACGAAACAGAAAAGATCTGGGATTGATCCAAGTGAATTTGGGAGCCGTTTACGGGAACTCAATATAAGGTCCAAAGAGAAGTTGATGCAAGCGAAGGAAGCCATTGTGTCATTGTCCCAAAACTTATGGATTTAGGCCAGTCCACAGATTTACAGTGCTCCAATTTTATCAATACAAAGAGTGTGACGGAACTGTGTGAACATCTGAGATCATAAATCGGAGTCAGAAAATTAGACAACTACTTATCCAAATAACTGCACTTACTCAGATCTCCAGCAATACGCCACCAGGTCTGAAATAGCGTTGATGAAAGGACATTAGTGAAGCATACACACCAACTGTGGCGCAACAAACTGCATGTTGATAAAACCTGGTAAGATGGAATCTCTTATGACTGCAGTCTTGTTGGAATGCAGACTCCAGCATCCACAACCTCTCTTCTGGAGGTGCTTTTTACTTACATTAATCATGTTACCCACTCCTGTCCGGGCTCACACAGTGTGACTGAGCTTTCAGAACTGTGGCAAGACTGCACACTTTTAAGTCTAAAACCAAAGTAAAGGTTAACACAGTGCAGCGTCAATGATTGGCTTCTGAGCTTTATTAGAAATGCAGCCCTTCCAGTCGTGGTTTCTAGAAAATGAAAACGGCCATCAAAAATGATGACAGGCCAATCCTCTCATCCCTGAAGTATAATCCTGATCATATTGAATCTTAATGGAGCCGTCTAATAGCTTCCACTTTAATCTGGCTTCCAGATACAGCGCGTGAGGTGGAGTGCTGATCTGTAATGCACTACAGGAAACAGGAAAACAGGTCAGCTGGACAGATTGAGACTAATGCTTCAGTCATGTGATTTACAGCTGTGTGCCAGAATGACTCAACTACAAAAGAAAAACATAACTTCTGAACTAGGAGAAGATTAAACATTGTTTATTCCTTCTTTTTGGTTTACAAACAAAAGGCACCCATTGATATATTTTGAGGAGTGTCACATTAAAATGAATGACAAGAATCCCTTTCCCAACTTCTGAGAGTAGAGTGGGGCCGATATTCATCACTGCACTCAAAGTAGGAGCGATTAAACAGGCCTCCCCTCAAGAACCTCACATTTTAAAAATCAAACACTGAAACTAAATCATTTTAAATGCATTCACAACCACTGATGAAAGCTTTATTCTGCACCTTAAACGTGCCCTGCGATCAACTGATCATTTAAAAAGGCCAAATAAAACTACCGCTCCTCCTTTGATGCAGGGGATAAATACTCAGGACATAGAGTCTTTTTAAAACCCCTGAAAACACATTTTAATCTTTTTGTCCCTTCCCTCTATGAAAAGTAGGGTTCTGCTTGATTGCATTTTTTTTTCTGCCAGGTTACGAGAGCTAAAGTTGTTTCACGTAAGAGATTTTGATCTCGAGTCTGTTGGAAATAGATTGCTAGGAAAATGAAACCACAGTAGAAATGGCAATAATTGCAGTTCCTTGAATGGCCACTTGAGGCCGGCTCAACGCAATATCCAAACTTGGCATCTTATGAAGAAAATACTTTTTAAAACTGCAATCATGTTTAAAGATATGCACTTAAGTGGCCGTTCTTTTGTGTTCAGTTTTCTGCCAAGTTTTTAAGCTAGCCAAACATTAGCATAACATTTGACCTTTGGCACTTTACCAAGTTATCTAGCCATTAGTAGCAGTAGCATCACTTTTCCCGCTCAACCTTTTGTCCAAATATGGTCACATCCTGTTTCAAAGAAGTCAGTGGATGTTGGCACTGTGGGTACATCTTTTATCTACAGTCTATGGATACCTCTCAAGTCCCAAAATGTAATTTAGCTTAAAGGAAACTGGCATCACCTACTCTATCAAAACGTACAAACGTCTGTTATGCATTGTGTTACATTATTTCTTTGCCAAATTTCTGCTGCAATCAGGTTTGGCCCTGCAGAAACTACTCTGGTGGCTGGATTTCGTTTTGGACAGAGGCACACCAAACATTTTTCCCTAAGCTGCTTGTATGACATTAAATTCCTCTAACATGTACCAAAAAATAAAAAATAAAATTCTTGCAAGCAAGCTTATATCACAAAAATGTAAATGTCCCAAAGAAAAACTGGTTGTTGCAAAAATAATGCTATAACGCAATGCAATTCCTAAACTGTTCAAAGCTGTGATTTCAGAGGTTTACAATCATTTCAATGCTTGTGTGCAATGCCCCGTTTTAACAATCCACTGGTAGGATTCAGTAGTTCCTGACATCAGAAGTGAGAAAACCCTGAATTAGACATGGCGGCGCTTTATTTCCCCTCCCTCCCCCCACCACACTACACAAGAACAGTCATAATCACACCAGAGACTTCACACCCTCGCAAGGAAACAGAGTTAAGCAAGAATTCGTCACATGGTCCCTCAGCTTTTCCCATATTAAAATCACAGGCAATTACAGAATTTTTCAGAGCTCAGTCAGGGAGAATCTGGCTGAGCAATGAAGTCAGGCTGTTGAATGTTTACTACATTCCGTGATGGAAAAAGTTAAAATGTGCATGTATATACAAAGTGATATGACGAGCAACTTGTAACAGCCAAATTCAGTATTTAATCTACTGCATTTACATTTTTTTAACAGGTTAAATTCTTTTTTTTCTTTTTTTTAAAATATACAGCAGCTGAAGTTGGTTCAGTTAGCTCTTTATCAGTAAACTAGTCACAATGTTATCAGCATA